CCTCTCCCAGTGCTAAAGACTGGCCGGTGTTACTGTCCCCCAATGATCACGGGGTCCCTGGTCCAGCCCCTGCAGCAGATGTGGGCAGCAGAGGAGGTCGGGGTGTCCACATCCCTGAAAAGCCTTGGCAACAAAACCCCTTTTTTCTTTTGCAAGATCATTTCACCTGATATTTGCTAGGTAGTTGACTACATAATAATTCAGGAGTGTGTTAGATGCCTAATAGCCTTCTCGCTCCTCTCTTCTCCTCTCATTTTCTTCACAAATCATTTAAGAATCGTTTTGTTAATGGTTTCCGGAAAAGCAAGTACCGCCATTAGCACTCATTCATATTTATGTCATTTTATTTGGGTAATTAAACACAAAGCTCGTCATTTAAAGGTGCACTATCCCTCTCTCTTATCGCTAACGAAGTCAAAGTCAGAATGACAATGAGCTGGGTGCAGTGATGCACCGGGGCGAGCGGGCGCAGACCCCGCAGCCACCCGGGCACCTGCAACACCTCCCAAAGCCTCCTCAAAGCTGATTTCCCCCGTCCCCACCAACACCAGCCCACAGGCAGCACTGGCGCTGATGAGCCTCCTCACCCTTGATTTATACATTTAATTCTTGGTGTCCAAAGTCCAATAAATTGTTTCCCTCTTCCCTGGGACCCCCACGAGCTCCTTCCCCAGGCTGACAAAGGTGTTGCTACACCCAGGGCTGGGAGCCCGCGCTGCCGGGGGGAAGCCCCACGTTGAGCCCATTCCAGCCCCCAGTGTCGGTCCTGCCTGACACACTTCAGTAAGAAACACAGATTTCTTTATTTTTTTACATTCTGCACGTGATTGTCTGAAATCAGTGATGTCACTGCAGCCTCAAGATTTTGCTTGTTTCATTGTTTTCTATTATTATTATTATTTTAAACTCGCTAGGTTTTGCTCTTTGCTTCTGCCCCGAGACATGAGGGAAACGCTCCCTGCATACCAAGTAGGGCACTTTGGAAGATTTCAGGGAAGGGAAAAAAAAACCCCAAACCCCCAGAAGCTGCCTTACGGTTGCAGACCTGCGTAAAGCCAGATTTACCCAAGAATCCCAAAGCTTTTAGTTTAGGAGAATATTTAATACTCTTATTAATCATTTTTAATCCGTTTGCTTTTAATTAAGAAACAGCATGATGCTTCCCTATCAACATATGCCAGGGAGCAGATTAATTGTGGCTTAAGATAACTCCCCTTGATTGGTGTAATGTATTAGCTAACGAGATGCCCACTTTTAAAGACGCTCAGACACTACCTTGGAAAGCCTGCTGTCCTCCAGAGAACACTCCCCCCTTTCTCTGGAGCCCCTGAGTGTTTGTGACTTTAAAAATAGAATAGAAAAAAATAATAAAATAAAATAGAATAAAATAAAATAGAATAAAATAAAATCAAGAACTCGGATTGGAGGACTGTGACAAAAACAAGCTAAGAGCAGTTCCAGAGATTGCTCTTCAGAGATTGTCACCTTCTGAGTTGGAGCACAATTAAAAAAATAAATCCTCAACACAGCTACCGGCCCTGGAGTCAGATCCTCAGCTGATCCCTGTCCCTGCCTTTGACAGCAACGCTGCCCCGTGTGACCCAGGGACACGGGACACTGGCAGAACAGCAGTGGTGACAGACTGCCAGGCACGTGTGACCTGTCCCCTCCAGCTCTAAGTGCACGGCCCAGGACAGGGCAGGACAGCGAGGGCAGCCCCGGGAAATGGGGACAGTCCGGCCATGGTCTGTGGCTGCACAGATCCAACATCTGGACACAAGCAATGAAGCCCCACACCATGCCCAGTGTCGGTGGGATGCAGGAGGATGGATGATATTATTCAGTAAGAAATAATAACTGAAAATAAAATAAAAGTCCTGCTTTCACATGACAGGATCCCAAGGGGACGCAGGGACCGGTCTGCACAGCCAGGACAGCTCCTCCGTAACCCCGAGAAGCTCCACAGTGTGATCTGAGGCACGTTGTGCACAGGAACAAGGAGCTGGAGATACTCAGGAATACTCAGGTGTACAGAGCACGGGTTGTGACTCCTGGGATTTCTGGTGCTGGTTCTGCCAGCCAGCAGCACCTTTGCTCAGCCTCGTCCCACCCACTGCCCGGCCCGGCTCTGCCGAGCGAGCTGTTTGTAGGACGCTCAGGTTTTCCTGTCAGTGGTGCTACATGCTTGGGGGAAAAAACCTATTTTGCTTTTCTGGCCTCCTATAAAAAGCGTCCCCATAAAACAACTCATGACCTGGAACATTACCCAGAACTTCTCCTTCATCACCTAAAATGTTTGTGGACGTTACAATTAAAAACCAGAGGTCAAACTCCACCTGGGAGAACTTTGCTGAACTTAAGCCCAGAAAGACTCTGGCCGTGGTGAAAATGGCTTTTTCATTTACCTTCACTGTCCCTTCAACTTCCACAAACCAGCGTCTCAGCATAGCCTGGATCTGCCCATCAGTCAGCTCAGGGTTGGCATCATGGATCTTCTTTTTGACCACATCTTCTAGAAGAAGACGTCTTAATCTCCAGTAGAAGAAGGTACGGGAAGTTTTCCAGTCTAGAATGTCCTGCCCAAGACATAAGTGGAGAAGGAGAAATGAGTGATGGACATTTATGAGGAGAAACAAATACACCTTATTCCCAATGGCAAAAAAAGGTTTGCAGTCATTGTACACTGAGATAGACCGCTTGCACGAGAGAAATACAGACTCCCATGTCTGAGCTCTGAAAACTTCCACCCTGTCAATACCATCAGTCACCAGAAGCCTCCTGGGTCTGCCAGAACTCTGCTTCCCTCTGCAAAAAGAGACACAGCTCCCCAGATGAGCAGCACAGCCCAAGACACTCACATCCAAGGGGAGAGGGAACCAGGAAGATCTCATCAGCCAATTCCCCACCCTCCCCTTCAGCCAGGGCAGACTGCAACGTGCTCTGTGGGGTTCTGATGTGGTCACAAATGAGCTACAGGGGAAACCCAGAAAATGTGGGGTCTCAAATGGACACAGTGAAGGTGCTAGAGAACACCATGTGTGTGTGGGACCAGAAAACAGTGGGCAAGTGGAGAGGGTTTGTTCCTGTGGCAAGAGTCATTGGGGCAGAGGTTTATTTACAGGCCCACAGGCCGTCTCCAGCAGCCGCCTGCCCCCCGCCTGCCCCACGGGATGCTGCCATTTCCCATGTGTCAAACCCTCCAACCATGTCATGTCCCCACAGAAAGCTCCTCGATACTCACGGTTATGGCACCTTTCTCCTGCATCCGGCCGGGGGTGTCGTGCAAGTCAGCAAACTGCATGGCTACCTGGTGGTAAATGGGACTCAGGAATTCCTCCCGCTCCTTCAGCTTGCTCTCCAGCTCTTTGCGGTCAGCAGGGCTCAGCTCGGGGGTACCTGCAACCAGGCAGGGGCACACGTCAGAGACCCTGGCCAGGGTAGAGGCGAGGGGGGCACAAGGGGCTGCTGCACGGAGGAAAGGAGAGGAGCTCTGGAGAGTCCAGAGGGAGAACAGAGGTTTCTTCTGTTCCTGGGTACAGGTGAAACCCAGACTGCATCTGGCCAGGACAAACACCAGACCATCAGCTCCCAGCAAAGCCTAGCAGAGTCCTGAGTCAAATCTCAGTGTTCCCACCCAGATTTCCCACCACTGATATTCAGGGAAGAGCTTTGAAGGAGTTTTCACCACGGAAGCTCTATTCCATTTAAATGCCAATGAGCTGAGCCATCAATTAAGTGACACTTACTGGACTTACTCCTAAAAAAGAGTAATGTCCCAACACGCAGCTCATTTAGTGAGAACCACGGACAAGGTAAAACCACCTCCACCATTTCCAGTTCTCCTGCAGGCTGGGCCCTGCCAGCGGCTTTCCAGCCACTGCCTCAGTAAGGACAGACGCCAAAATCACTCCCACTGGGTTTACCAGTGACGGGCACACACGAGTCTCAGCCATGGACTGCCATGATGGGCAAGAATAAAACTGTGTCAAGGAGATAATGTCCTCTGGAGTTCAGAATCTTTAATGTATTTTAAAGCATCCAGCTCAGATAAAATTAACTTTGATTAAAACAAAAACACGCATTAAACAGTTTCTGATTCATTTTGGAATTGCCTGACCCAGACAAAGCCAGGGAAGGGGAAACACATCGCGCTGTGGAGACATGTCACAGCTCCTGCCTGGAATGAGGAGCTCCTTCCCACAGCTGCCCCTTCACCAAACCAAGGATGTAAGTCCCCTCTTCTCCCTCTAACAGGCCACAGGGAGCACAACCACCACTGCAAGTCTCTGCTGAGCCTGCAGCGATTTACACCAGGTCAAAGCTGGCCCAGAAGTAGGTGGATGCTTCTCCTACACTGTCTCACCAACACCCGTGCCAGAGGTCCACACACACACACACACACACACCACGGGCCTCCTTTCAAATGTAGTAAGAAGGTTTTAATAGAGAGAAGCTCCTCTCAGAACCTTCAGAATAAAACATTATCTGTATTTATCCATGTGAAATCCACAGGCTCCTGCAGCTCCTGTTCCAGACGGCAACGCGTGCATTAACGCCCGTACCGCTCGCGTGGTCTGGCCTCTGCCACACTCACCGTGTACAGTCAAACCAGCCAGGCCCAGTAATGATTTAGGTGAGATTAACAAATATGTCAATGTCTATTTTCTGCTTAATTTAAAAGCAGCGTCTATAAAGATTTTTGACTTCTGAACCCTGTTCTCCTGGAAGAAAGAAGGTAACAATGAGGAGGGGGGATAAAGAGTGATTATCCCATCATCGATCGTTTGTCAGGAGCATTTCTTATTCACTGGACTATTGTAAAAAGCTAAGCTCTCGATCAATCCTGTAAGCCCCCTGTACAATTAAATATCTTGGAATGGTTTTCTTTCTTTCCTCGTCAGATCTTGAGGCCTCGGGGTTTTTCAGAAAGCTGGGGCTTTATTTATTTATTTCTCAGAAAAAGAAGTCTCCTTCCACAAATCTTACACTGGCAAGGAGAAGGGAGTTAAAATATGGGATTCCTTTGCTCTAAAGGTACTTGACAGTTAATGAAACTGTTCAAGTTTAAATCATAGGAACATTATAGACCTGTGGGTATGGATCGGCTGCTAATCAATAGGGAGAGAAAAGCAGCAGCACTCTGAAGCGGCCGCACCACAATGCGAGCGCGGAGGGAGCGCGGCGGCTTGGGCAAGTGGTGGGGCAGGCAGGTAAGACACGACGACAATCTAAAGGAAGAAAGGACACGTGTGACCTTCCCCACTTGGCAGGCAGCACAGACACTTCCTAAGGCAGCACTCTGAGTGCTGTAAAATGTCACATTTATCTTGGGCTGCGGTTTGCTCTGCAGTCTCCAGGTTCTCTTGTGTCTATAAATAGC